CAGCTCAGGCAGAGGCACACACACACCCTGACATCCTCTCTGACTCCCGACTGCTTCTCTCCCCGCCCAGGGCTGCTGCTCTCTTTTATATGGTACATTACGTGTTACATGTTCACAGTTTTTCCCCAATGCCTATTACCTATATTAAATGGTGCTTTTCTACTCTAAACCAATCTGTGAGTGCCAACATCACCAAGAACATGGAGGTAAGGAAGAAGAAAGAGGGAGCAGGACAGGCCCAGATCCCTCCATCTTAAAACCTCTGACCCCCATGTACAAAACCAAAACCCCCCTGTACAGCACTCAAAAATTCTTCCCTCTACTTTGTGACTACTTCTACTATAAAATCTAAAGTTTTGTGACTTCTTGTTCTTCCTGCAAGGTTGGTAAATCATTCCATGGCTCAAATCCAAAATCCCAGCTGTTTGCAGCTGCCTGCCAGGGTCTCAAATGCTTCTGACCTGGGCCCGGAACCTCCAAAAATGTCTGAGGGACATTTTGAGTTCCGACACTCCACTGCTGAAGGCTTGGGACTCTGCAGCTCTTGATGGCAAATCCTGTCTTTTTTCCAGTTTAGTGCAGTTGTCTGAGGCACAAACACAATTCCCAATGGCTGGAAGAACAACATTGGCAGGAGCGTAACTGCACATCCCCAAGCATAGAGCCCAGTGCCTCAGTCCAAACCAGGGAAGAGACTGGGTGATTTGGGGTCTCTGCAAGCACCTTCAGGAGTTCTCCTGTCTGTCCCAGATTTGAGACATGCAGAAAGACAGGAGATTGTTTCCAGCTTTGGTGGGAACTGCTGGCCTGGGGAGGTACATGATGCCAGGAGTTTGAGAGAGAGCCTGACAGATGTGCAGCCAGACTTGTGCACAGCACATCAGGACATCCCCTTGCACTTGTGGGATGCCTTAAGAAGAAGTGTCAGTGATCAAAGCACCAACATGCACCACTCATTGTTAAAAATGCCAGATACCACATAGGTCTGTGGTGCCAGACAGTGAGGGACATGCACTGCAGTAGTCCCCTCTTTTAAGTGTACAGCAAAATTTAACCCCCAGAATAATCTGCTCTTTCTTCTTTCATTCTATTTCTTCTCCAAGTGTGGATGTTTTCCTGAAGCTGGTGACGAGGTTCCCATCTCCTTCTCCTTAAGGGCATACCCCACATCTCCCTACAGTTTTCCACATTGCACTTCATGTTTTAATGACTCCAGCTGGGCAGGAGGGAAGGATGCTCAAATACCCCCAGAACCACACCTTGGAATCCTTTGTTCCTCTCATCTACTAAGTAATAGCCAGCATCTTTCTGCCATCCATTTACTTTATGATGGCTTGGAATCACCTGTTACATGAAGAATAATTCCTTCACCTTTTTAGTGGAATCTGCACTGGGAAGGGATCCATTTCTTTCCAAGCCTGACAGTTTCTCATCCTCCTGTATGAGGATGTAGGCTGACAACTCCAATTCAATCATTTCCATTGTACCTACTGACTTAATGCTTTCATTGCAAGCACCTTCTCCCAGCTCACACTTCTCCACTCAAAATAAAGGATTAGGAAATAATAGATGCATAGTTCCCATGCACCTGCACTGCAAACATGCAGAGCCTAGTCCAAACTAGCTCTCTAGCAAATAAATAAAATGATGCTTCAGTTTTTGGAAGGGATCTCATCAAGCTGCTGCAAGCAGCCCTATCAAGAGGGCTCTTCTCACAGGGGATGTTTCGTTTA